ATCTGCCCCTCCCTCCTGATGTCGTCCCGCGTCCACCCCCAGTGGCGTTCCCACCTGCCGCTCCCCATCCCCCAACGACGCCGGCTGCCTCCTTGCTCTCCGGCCCCGCCCCTGCCGGTCCGTCGCTCCTGCTGCCCGCCCGCCGGCCCTGCCTGCTGCGCTCTGGTCGGCAGCGCCAGCTGCCTTCCCGCCAGTGGTGATTGCTGCCCCTCTATCGGTGACACCTGCAGGTCCTCATCCAGCAGCGTCGAGTGCTCCCCAGGAGGCAGCGCCGGCTGCCCTCCCGCCAGCAGACCCTGACGCCCGCCTGCCAGCAGCCCCTACCGCCCGCCTCCCGGTAGGCCCGGCTGTCCCCCTGCCAGTAGCGTCAGCGGTCCTCCTGCCACTGGCACCTGCTCCCCCTCCCTCAGGAGCGCCCGCTGCCATTCCGCCGGCAGCACAAGCTGCTCCCTCGGTGGCAACATCCCTCGCCGTCCCAGCAGTAGCCCCTGCTGCCCTCTCGTCAGCGATGCAAGCGGCCCTCCCGTCAGCGAGGCTTGCTGCCTCCCGTCAGCGAGGCTTGCTGCCCTCCCGTCAGCGATGCCTGCGGCCCTCCTGTCAGCGAGGCTTGCTGCCCTCCTGCCTGCGGCACCCCCTCCCCTCCTGCACGCTGCGCCCGCTCCCCTTCCAACGGCCACGCTTGCTGCCCCTCTGTCGACCGCCCCTGCTGCCTTCCCGCCGGCAGCACCTGTTGCCCCCTGCCAACAGCCCCTGCCGCCCTCCTGCCGGCAACCCCTGTTGCCCCCCTGCCAACAGCCCCTGCTGCCCTCCCGCCGGCAGCACACGTTGCACAATCGAGCGCACAACCTGCCCTCCTGCCGGCAGCGGCCTGCCACCTGTCTGCCGGCAGTGCATGCCCCTCTCCTGCCGGCAGCGCCTGATGCCCTCCTGCCAGCAGCGCCTGCTCTCTTCCTGTCGGTAGCGCCTGCCACCCTCCGACCAGCGCCCCGGCCCACCCACAAGCTGCTTCTGCTGCCTCTCCACTACACGCTCCCATCGATGGTCCGCCTGTGTTGTCTCCCGCCATCCCGCTTGTACCTCGTGCTGCATCCCTGCCAACAGCACCCACAGTTCGCCCGCCAGTGGCGGTGACTGCCCACGCACTGGTTGCTCGTGCTGCCTCCTCGCCGACTGCTCAAGGCACACCCCGACTGCCTCCCTCTGCCCTTGTTGCCCGTTCTCCAGCAACGCCCGCTGCTCTGGCTCTTGCAACGCGAGGGGCCGTGTCTGGACCAGCTCTCCAACTTGCTGTGCCGCCTGCAGAGTCCGAGAGAGCTGCCTTCGAGCCAAACGCGGCCCGACGCGCTCCCGATTGACGCCAGTCGGGCGCGCATGTGGCGCCCGATCGTCTCCCATCCTGCCTCTACTCACGACTCCCTACCTCCGCCGGTCTTGCAGCCCCTGCAGGCGACGGCGGTGGGCCTCCCAAGCTGCCACCGCCTCATTCTGCTGAGACCAGGGAGGAGCCGCGGCCACGAGTGCCGGTTTGGCCATACTGGCTGTACCCCCTCTGGCCCCACTGCTGAGGGAGAATACTCCGACGTGCATCCCACCACCACCCTGGTCGTGCCGTAGGACCTCAAGAGGAGCTCGACCCGTTGTTGTATGCCGCCAGAAACACTGCCCACCGCGCTTCTGTTTGAGAGGCGAGCCCACCTGGCAGAGGGTGTCCTCGCGGTATAGGCGGCGCAGACGTGGCCCGTGGAGCCCCCCAACCTGCTCCCTTGGTCTCTTCAAACCACCCCCCGCGGAGAACACCTTACCGCCCCGCCCGCCAAGTCCGCCAAACTCCCCCCCCCACCTGCCCCTCCACGACTTGAGGCAGAGTAGTCTCCGGGGTCCGGTTCCTCCTCCATGGGCCTCGCCTCCGCCCGTGGGCGGGCCGGAGTCACTGGTTGCAGAAGGGGTGGTGATTCGCGCCGCACAGGCCGCCACTACTGCTGCAGGGACGCTTGCCCCTGGGAATGTCACTGCTAGGGACGGGAGTGTCGTTGCCGGGGTCATAAAGCGCGCTGCTAGGGACGTGAAACACGCTGCTAGGGGCGTGAAATACGCTGCTAAGGGCGTGAGACGCGCTGCTAGGGGCGTGAAACGCGCTGCTAAGGGCGTGAAACGCGATGCTAGAGGTGTGTGTCACGCTGCTAGGGGTGTGTGTGACGCTGCTAGGGGCGGATCGCGCTGGTAGGGGCGTGAAACGCGCTGGTAGGGGCGTTGATCTCGCTGCTAGGGGCGTCAATCTCGCTGCTAGGGGCGTGCGCTGTGCTGCTAGGGGCAGATCGCGCTGCGAGGGGCATGAAACGCGCTGCTAGGGGCGGATCGCACTGCTAGGGACGTGAAACGTGCTGCTAGGGGCGTCGATCTCGCTGCTAGGGGCGTGCGCCGCGCTGCTAGGGAGGGTTCGCGCTGCTAGGGGCGTGAAACGCGCTGCTAGGGGCGGATCGCGCTGCTAGGGGCGTGAACGCGCTGCTAGGGGCGGATCACGCTGCTAGGGGCGTCAATCTCGCTGCTAGGGGCATGCGCCGCGCTGCTAGGGGCAGTTCGCGCTGCTTGGGGCGTGAAACGAGTTGCTAGGGGCGGATTGCGCTACTAGGGGCATGAAACGCGCTGCTAGCGGCGTCGATCTCGCTGCTAGGGCGTGCGCCGCGCTGCTAGTGGCAGATCGCGCTGCTAGGGGCGTGAAACGTGCTGCTAGGGGCAGTCGTGCTGCTACGGGCATCCTACTTGGAGCATCCTACACGTGAAACGCGCTGTTAGGGGCATGGAACGCGCTGCTAGGGCGGGTCTAGAGTTGGTGGAACCAAGAGTAAAAGTGTGTGGAAGACTTTACACCTTGAAAAGGAAATCTCTGAAATACAAGGATAATAATAATAGATAAAACATACATATTTTAGTCTAGGAAGTACCTATCCGGGATGTACCTGTTCGTAGTGTATCGCGACTATCCGCGTGACATGACTAATGACTGTTTGTTTGACTGAGAGTGGAGTGACCCTTCGGATGACTATACGCGCGAACCTACTGTTCACGCGTTGACTCCAGGGTCCTCCTTAACAGACAAAATCCGTCTGTCTGTCTTATTTTCAGGCGCGATTTTTCGGATTCTTCTGATTTTTCAGACGTCCAAAAATACAAATTCTGATGCCTTAGAAATTGAATTTTAGTTCTTCTGATTTCCATGACTATGTACTTGTTCTTCTGATGTTTCAGACATGATAATTTTTGAAAGTGTTACACGCTTTCTAAAATTGTGTATTGTGAAAGTGGAAACGTGGCCAGCACAGCAAAGGTAGCGGCGCGCCGCTACTCACCCTCTTTTTGCCTACAAAAGAGGGACGTGAGGCCAGTTGGCCTCACCCACGTTCTTCATTTTCAGTTTCTAGTTTGAGTTCCTAGTTCTCGTCCAACCTGGCGAAGACCCAATCCCTCCCCTGCTTCAAGGCTCCAGCCATACTACTCACCGACATTCTCCAGCGCAACCTCGCAAACATGGCGCCGATGACCACGCCTCCTAACCGGGAGGTTAACAAGCCGTCTACACCCGCCGTCGCTCCGGAGCTCGGAAGTTCGCCCAGGGTAACCGACCGATGCCAGAAACGCCCAGCCGAAAATTTCGGCGAGGGCCCTTCTGGTGTCGAGGTCCTCCTCGGCACGTCGGAAGAAACACGCGCTGCTGCTGCGAAGCAGCAGCGCGTGGCGTCAAATTTGGAGGATCGCGCAGCTGCGAAGCAGCAGCGCGAGACTACCAAGGTGACGCCCGCTGACGTGGACGACATCGCTGGCACGTCAGGGGGCCAGGCGGGCCCCACCTCGTCAAGGCGCCCTATGGCACCATCCGAAGTCAACGCATTGGTCAACGCGCCAGTCAACGCCGCCCCGCGCTCACTGCGCAGCAGCTGCAAGCGCTCCAGGCGCTGTTACACCAGCAAGCCCCCGTTACAGTCGGAACTTCCGACAACATTTCCGCTCCGACTAAAAATGATAAGAAGTAATCGCCCATGCCCCTCCTCGCGCCAACAAGACCCCACGCACCGACGACCCGGCCCCTGCACCTGTTCCTGCACCTGCACCTGCACCTGCCGACAGCGACGACTCTGACAACGACGACGGTGAGGCTCCCAATAATATCGCTCGTCGTCGCATTTTTCCTTCCGCCCCCCCTCTCCCTCCCCTTAACCCCTCGCCCGTGGCCACCACCTTCATCCGCAAGGGGGTGCGGGACCAGGCGGAAGTCTTTGCCGCCATCTAGGCACACCTGAAGCACGTGGACTACAACCTCCAGCACGGCGACAATGAAACCGCCCTCTCCCACGTCACGCACATCGAAGAACTCATCAACAAGCGCTTCGAGGTGCTTTTGGTGGCGGACGAGGCAGGTTTCGAGGCGGCGGACCGTTTCCAGTTGTACCTGTCGAAGAGCGTGCTCACCTCCCTCCTACAAGCTCGCTGTCGCGGACGTGGCGGCCCTCAAGCGCGCGCGCACCGGCTATACGCGCGGTCCCCGCATTGGCGGCCGGGAGGGTGACTTGGAGGGCAAAAGTGTTGGCGCCGCTGGCTGCCAGGAACCCCGTTTCAAGGGGGTTTGTTTTCGCTGTGGCCAGCCCGGTCACATGGCGAACGCCTGCCCCATGGGGGGCGTGGCGCGCAAGGTCCCTCACCGGTGGTGTGAGGGGACTTAGGGGTGGTGCCCCTCGCTCATATGCCGGGAGCATATGTAATGTGCACCGGTGTTGTGGGGCTGGTTGTGAGCCTTGGGAATAGGCATGGGGACCAGAGGGTCCTACAAGCTTCAGCCCTAGGGGCGGAAATGGCTACAAGGCCTAGGTGTTTGCTGCAACGTTTGTGTGTAGAGCACTCTTGCTCATAGTATAAGTTGATAGTCCGGGCTTTCATTATTATCATTATAAAAAAAAACAAAAAAAAGGGCACAACTTGAGGTTGCTGGCCGAAAACATGCAATGGCTCATGGGTAAGCCATGGTGCGCACACTTACGGAACCAGCACAAACAATCGAAACAGCAACAAGCAAAAAAAAAAGAAAAAAGAAGCAGCACAGATATTTGTCGGGAGGCAATGATGCTTCACTAATGCCTCGAGCCATGCCGAAAGATACCAGCAACAACAGAAGAAGGACAAGGGAGGGAGAGCAAGATAAAAGGGCAGCAAAAGAGAAAACGACAGATAGAGAGTGAGAGAGAGAGAGAGAGAGAGAGAGAGAGAGAGAGAGAGAGAGAGAGAGAGAGAGAGAGAGAGAGAGAAAGAAGCGAGAGAGAGAGAGAAAGAGAGAGAGAGGGAGAGAGGAAGAGAGAGAGAGAGAGTGAGAGAGAGAGAGATAGAAAGAGAGAGAGAGAGAGAGAGAGAGAGAGAGAGAGAGAGAGAGAGAGAGAGAGAGAGAGAGAGAGAGATCAAGAGAGAGAGAGAGAGAGAGAGAGAGAGAGAGAGAGAGAGAGAGAGAGAGAGAGAGAGAGAGAGAGAGAACGAGAAAGAGAAGAGAAAGAGAGAGAGGCAGAGAGAGACAGAGTGAGTCAAGAGAGAGAAAGAGAGAGAGAGAGAGAGAGAGAGAGAGAGAGAGAGAGAGA